CTTCCCAGAGCTTACAAGGGGCTCCGCCAAGTAATTGCCGCTAGCTGACTCTTCAGGCAAGTTGTGAGCTGTGTTCGTTGTCGAGATTTCTTAAACCCAAGGCGTGCACCCAGTCAATGAAATGGCTCACGTTGATTGGCTTCCAGCTCTCGCGAGGCCAGTGCCAAGGCTCGCGTGGCTCCAGCGGGAGGTGGACAGGAGGACGACGCGGGTGCCTCCCGTAACGGGTCGACCAGGAGCGTAAGGGGGAGGTTGCCATGCGCGAGTACGCAAGATTTGACCGGAGAAAACAACATGAGTCAGCAGCAGCGGCGCTGATCACGGGAGCAGCTTTTTGTTGCTGTTTACTGGCGCATAGCAATTACCTAGGCCATTTTCCACGGTTCCAGCATATCAGTTTCAGCTTACGTTTGGCTCTTCCTGTGATTCAGAGATAATGAACGTACCAGTGTTTCCGACAGTTGTCAAGCACGCAGACTGTTGTTAAACGGCAGAGCACCTGACACGAGATTGGGAGGTCAGCGATTCGATTTCCTGAGGAACGTATGTCTGTTGACTGTATCCACTTCCCATATGTCCCTTATACGTACAGACTGAATACATGTGAGCTAGAAACTTCTATTTTTGTTAAGGTTCTAACAAACTGAGGCTCCGGCGAATGCCAAGACCAGCAAAAACGCCCGAGACTTGCGGACTTCACCAACTGGACAAAGAATGCCAGCAGGTATCTTTGTTTGCCAACAAGACCATCCGGGGCTGGTGGCCACTCGTCATTATGGACGACGAGGAGGAAGAACTTGTAGTCCAAGTAAGTCTATCCGCCTCTTCACGGCCGAGGAAGACTCTAATGTCATTTTCCCCAGCCAGAATGGGCGCAAACAACTGTTACTGGGCAGCAGAGAAAAATAGCTCTGTTGTCTTGCGTTAAGAATCGCGACAGGGTGACTACCTGCCCAACCGCAAAGCGACTAAATGAACAAGATCGGAAGTAGATCAAACAAGAATGACTGCTTGTGAGATAATGCTAAGACCCCTCCTTAGCGGCGCTTGTGCCCAATCCTTTTGACCCCTTCTCTAGACCATGCGTGCTGCATAGATTTACGGGTATCAGCTAGCAGTCGGTCCTAGGTGTCTATGGAGAGGTCCTTTAATCAATCTAGTTCCTAACAAATAAAAAAGTTTTCTAATAACTTTTTCCTGCATAAAACTTGTTAATCCTGGCCGTTTGTTGATAAAGTTGAAATTCTTGCATCCGTTTCCTTATCATTTACATTTAGATGCTCGGCAAATGTTTCTTATGAATGTCCTCAGTGGGCATATAATGATACTTTTAGT